TGGCTCACATCTGTAATCCCAGTGCTTTTGGAGGCTGAGGCAGGCAGATCACCTAAGGTCAGGAGTTTGAGACCAACCTGCCCAAAATGGATAAATCTTGTTTCTACTAAAAATACAAAAAATTAGCTGGGCATGATGGTTTAAGCCTCTAATCCCAGCTACTTGGGAGGCTCAAGCAGGAGAATCGCTTGAACCTGGGAGACTCCGTCCCCGCTGCCAAAAAAAAAAAAGGATATGGGACAGGAGTTTAACTTTATTCTTTTGCGTGTTAATATTCAGCTGTTCTACTGCCATTTGTTGAAAAGACTATTCTTTTTAAATATATAAGTTATTTATTTATTATTATTATTTTTGAGATAGAATCTCATTATGTTGCCCAGGCTGGTCTCAAACTCCTGGGCTCAAGTGGTCCTCCCACCTTGACCTCTCAAAGTGCTGAGATTACCTGCTGAAGAGACCATTCTTTCCCTAGTAATGATATCAACCTTGTCAAAAATCATTTGACCATGTATGCATGGATTTATTTCTGGACTTGCAATTCTGTCCCATTAGTCTGTATGTTTATCCTTATGTCAGTACCACAGTGTTGCATGCAATTTTATTATTTTATTTTATTTATTTTTGAAACAGAGTTTCACTCTTGTTGCCCAAGCTGGAGTGAAGTGGCATAATCTCAGCTCACTACAACCTCTGCCTCCTGGGTTCAAGCGATTCTCTTGCCTCAGCCTCCCAAGTAGCTGGGATTACAGATGCATGCCGCCATGCCTGGCTAATTTTTTGTATTTTAGTGGAGATGGATTTTCGTCATTTTGGCCAGGCTGGTCTTGAACTCCTGACCTCAGGTGATTCACCCACCTTGGCCTCCCAAAGTGCTGGGATTATAGGTGTGAGCCACCGCATCTGGTCTGTATACAATTTTAAAGGAAGATCTCTGTGGCTTACTTTGGAAATTGTTGGAAGCTGGCCTAGATACAGGGACCCCTGTTGAGCAAGCAATTCCAAGATCACGTCCCAAAGCAATGGGAACTGGGCTAGGGTCTGGTGGTGGTGATCAAGAAATGCAGAAAGATTTGAGAGCTGTTCTGGAGCCAGAATTTGCAGAACTTGGCCAAAATTGGGTGCAGCAAGTGAGAAAAAGGACAGTCAAGGAGGATGTGGTTTCTGGCTTGGATGATAGATGGTGCCAGTTCCTTGCAATGGAGGAAAACAGAGGAGTCCTATTTGGGGGAAAATGGAGACTATGTTTTGGCTGGTCTGGGTCTGAGGCTCCCCAGTCTCAGATGTTGTGTGTGTGCACGTGTGTGTATAGGTACTTGTGCAAGTGCCTACCACATTCCAGGCCCTCACATCTGATAACAGTGTGTTCTCAATGATGAGCTGGACAATCTATCGATAGTTCTACTTCCTGAAGGCTCTAGCAACCCTTGTCCAGGGCCTGGAAGGGTTCATTGAGGTGGAGAAGAGAGGATGGGAATGGGTCAATGATTCTCTCTGTCTTAGACAGCACTAGCTGTTTTATGGCTGTGCTCTGCTCCTTCCATCTGGGGCCCCAGGATAGCAGGGCAAAGGCCAATAGGCAGTTTGTGGCTGTCAGCAGGAAGTGGTAAGCTCCTTTAGCTCCTGTGGATCCCACCCAAGCCCCTCAACAGCCACAGCTCCTCCTAATGCACAGTGTCCCTTTGGTAGAGGGCAAGCCATGGGCCACCCCAGTCACTGCCAGACAGCTCTGGAGCCTTGCCTGTCTGTTGCAGGATGGAGGAGGAGGATTGAGGGCAGGTCAGCTAGGGTTGAGATCTGTGGCCTTCTGCCCAGTGACCTGGTGTTGTGCATCTGCTGGGTTGCTGGGGTAGAGATGAAGACTTTCTTCCTCAGCCCAAACAAGTTAGGTCTTTGAAGATCTTACTCACTGCCTCATAGGCTGCCACAAGCCATATTTTCCAGGTTGCAAATGCCTGCCTTTGGTAACTATGGTCTGTGTGTGTGTGTGCATGTGGCACGTTTACACATGGGTGGGAGAGATCATTAAGGGAAGATTCATGCCCCTCCTTAAATAAAAAGAGACAAAATTATGGACATGAAGTTAAGTACAGGGGTTTGGAAAGAGACTGTGAAATCAAGGAACAATCAAAGTTTACATTCAGGGTAAAATTGTCTCTGGTGCTGATGGTAAGTGAACACTGCTTGCTTCCAAGGCCGATTCAAAGCTGTGCAGGAACCGCTTGCTTGGATCCCACTGGGTGCTGAGTGCCTTGTTCTTTTCTGTCCACGGTGCCTGGCAGAGAGAAATAGAACAAGTAGCTACCATTTAGGCCAGACTTCGCTGGGCCATGCGCTCCGTGCCAGACACGGTAACTACAATCACCCCTGTGGAAGGCTTTATACGCTCCCTAACTTAGAGATGGGGAGGACAAGGCAGAGAGGAAAAGTCTCTTGCCCAAGTTCACCCAGACTAGCAAGAGAGTTGAGCTGGGCTTTAAACTCAGGACTACATGAATCCAAACCTGTGGTCTCTCCAAAGCCACGCTATAAAGACACACAGCAAAATTTGTGGAGTAAATGATTCATTGAATGAGTTAGCACGTGAATGAATAATAAATGAGGAAGTGATGAAATGAGTTAGTGAAAGAATGCATCATCAAACGAACAAGAGCTCCCCACCCACCCACTGCCCTTCTCTTGTTTCCCCGTCCCCCCCGCCCCCCCGCCTTCCTCTTCCCTCTCCTCTTTACTGCCTCCCCGTCCTCTCCCTTCTCCCTCCCTTTTTTTCCTCTTACCTCTCCTTTCTCCCTTCTTCTCTTCTTTCTTGTCTTTCTCCTCTCTCCCCTTCCTTCCTGTTCCTTTCTTCTCTCCCTACTTTCCTTACCACTGTTCAGTATTTCCCCTCTTGCACGCTCATTGCCACTCCGCTTTTTTTTGAGACGGTGTCATTTTGTCACTCAGGCTGGAATGAATGGTGCAATCACAGCTCCTTTTAGCCTCAACCTCCTGGACTCAAGTGATCCTCCCACCTCAGCCTCCTGAGTAGCTGAGATGACAGGTGCATGCCGTCACACTCAGCTAATTTGTGTATGTGTGTGTGTGTGTGTGTGTTTGTAGACACAGAGTCTCATTATGTTGTCCAGGCTGGTCAGGAACTCCTGGACTCAAGCAAGCCTCCCACCTCTACCTTCCAAAGTCCTGGGATTACAGGCGTGAGCCCCTGTACCTGGCTGCACTGCCTCTTTCCTTACATTTTCTTTTCTCTTTCCCAACTCTCATCTCCCTGGCCCTCTGGCCACCATCACTGTGTGGTTCTGTCCCCACACCTTGCCAAAAGGAAAACAAAACAGAAACTACAAAGAAGAGAGAAAAATAATGAAATAACACAAACGTGCGTTGGAAATTCACCGTATGCCAGGTGCTATACTCACCATTGGAAATTGGCAGAGAACAAGGCAGACGCAGCCTCTGCATCAGTGGAGCTCATGGGCTGCTGGGGAAGCCAGATACTGTGGGCCAGGAGACAGGAAGGAACAAGGCACCCTGGGGACTTTCAGGTGGCCCCCACCTGTCTAGGGGTCCTGGAAGCCTCTTAGCATTTGAGCTGAAGCCTGAAAGGCTGCAGGCCTTAGCTGAGGAAGGAGACGGATGCCCAGCCTGCGGAAGGCCCAGGCCTAACTGGGAGAGCCTGGCTCTTCGGAGGAAGTCAAAGAATCCCAGCAAGGGTGGAATAGAAGAGGAAAGGGGACATATAGAGGGGCAAAAAGGGTGAAAAGGGGACTGGGACCAGATACAGTCCTTTCAGGTCCGCTAACAACTGGGGGACTCTATCCTAAAGAGAACAGGAAGCCGTGGAGGTGTTTAGGCAGGAGGATGGCATAGAGATGGTCTTGGCTGCCCAGGGGGCCAGTGGGGTGAGTGACCTCTCTTTGACCTTCACTTCCTCATGTATAAAGTGGGGCAATAATATTTAACTTACTGGGGATGTGTGTGTGTGTGAGTGTGTGTAGCAGGGAGTAGCTGGTTCACAGACGTGCGGGGGGCCTGGTTTGTGGACTGCGCAGTAAGTGTTGAAAAAGGCACTCTTCCCTGACTTGGTTTCCTTCTGCATCTCCTCCCAGCGGCCTACTCCTGCTTAGAAACACCGCGCATGCGGTGAGCTGTCCCTACGATTCCCACAGGGAGGGCAGCCCAGATTGAGAGTGGGGTGGGGGGAGGACTGGGGATTTCACCCAGCAGTTAGACGGCTGTGCTAAGGCAGGCTCTGTGTTTGACAGCTGCCCCACGGCCCCTCCACGTGCCTGCTTCACCCGGAACAGAAGACTGTTGAGGCTGCAGGCGCTTTGCCAGGGCTGCTTTGAGAATCGAGCGTCACAGTTTCTGGCAGAGCAGTTCTAGCAACTTAGGGATTTGGCTCTGGCTTGGAGCACCCCCGTCTCTCAAGTCTCAGGGCTCCTTGCTGGTGCACTGGGGGTCGCCCTGTCACATGTGGCCAGCTGCAAGTGGGGTAACTCATAAGGAGGCTCTTCCTTCCCTTTTTCTCCCGCAAAGTAGTAGAGATTCCTCATTTGTCTGTTTGTAGACTTCCAATTGTACAACTGGTGCTGGGCTAGGAGCTGGGGTTGCCCCGGGGGCCAAGATATACACGGTTCTTGTCATTGCAAAGCTCATCTCTAGCAAGAGCCAGACCACTAAATGAGTCACTGGAACGAAATATGATGAGCATTTTGCGAGAAGTGGGATTAGCAAATGATAATGAGAATTATCCCATAGAATTCCACAAGCCAAGGGAATTGCATTTGTTTGGGGCCATGAGCCAAGAGGGAGCAGGCTGTGGTCAAAGAACGGAACTGAGGGATTGTGGAGGCAAGTGGCGAGTGAGGGACCGGAGAGGTGGGCTGGGCACAGCCACCAGGGCCTTGTACATCACAGCAAGGGGCTTTCATCCTAAGAATAGTGGGAGCCCTGGAAAAACCTTAACAGGCGTGGCATGGCTGCATTTGTCTTTTCTCTCTCTCAAGACTGCTCCAGGGAGCGTGGCAGTTGGCTGTTGAAGAGAAGCGGGCACTGGCATTGAGAGACCTCCAGACTGGACATGGCCCTGAGTCCAGGGGCTAACCTGGTTTTCCATGAAGACTCAAAGATGACACCAAGTCTCACCTCCTGTGGGGCCCCAGGATTAGGGTCTGGTACCACCCCTGGGTCCCACCCAGACACGGCTCATGTGCCTGTGTTGAATCTACTCCCAAGTCCTGGCTCGCCTCTCATTCTGGATCTTAATCCAACTCTGAGTCCTGTCTCAGGGGAGACCTCAGGCCTGGTGTCTGAAAATACCCCCAGACCCGATGACAGCAGGGCCATCGCTCCGGCCTCCCTCCAGATCACCAGCTCTTGTTCTGGTGAAGCCCTGGACCTGGATTCCAAGGACGCTTCAAGACCTGAGTCGCAGGGGCGCCTCTGTCCTGCCTCAAATACCATTCTGAGTCCTAGCCCTGCTGAGGCCACTGGTCTGAGCTCAGGGAACCACCCTTGGTCAAATTCTGAAGAGGCTGTCAAGTACCTCTCAAGTAAGATTTTTGAGATGGGTCAGAGTAACTCCAACCCTTCCAGGCATGAACTAAACCCGTTTAGAAGGCACCATTCCAGAGAAGGCCTGGTTCTGGGCCACTGTATCTCTAGGCCAAGCTCAAAAGCACTCCTTATTCCAGCCTCAAATTCTTCTCTGGACCTTGATTCCAGTCCATTGCTCGACATGGGCTCGACAAACAACTCCAAGCTGAGCCTGAGCATAGCTCCAGATGCTCGTGGGACCCTAACCCCAGACACCGACGAGACCATCGCTTTGGCTTCATCTAACATCTCTCGATCTGTTTCGAAAGGAGCCTTTGGTACCACCTGGAGCACAAATTCCAAGGGAACCATGAATGTGGCTTCCAACGGCCACCCCAGATCTGATTTGAACACGACCGTCACTCAAGCCCCGTACCTGACCCTGATTCCTGGCTCCAGCGACGGTATCAGCCTGCATGCCAGTGCCCACGGGCCCAACTCCACCATCTCTCCATCCTCATGCATGACCCTAATCCTGGGCTCCAATGACACGCTGAGCCTGGGCTCCAGCCTCCTGTTCAGCGACACCTCCACCTTGACACTGAGCAGTCAGCAGGATTATGCCGAGGACAGCAGCATCCGCACTGTACCCCTGGAGGAGAATCTGGAGAGTTGGAGTGAGATGGCCGGCACTGAGGCAGGCCAGTTCCCGCTGGGACTCCCCACCTCCAATCCCATGGGCAAGGATGCCGTGACCTTGCAAGGCATCTCTGAGGGTAAGGCCAGGGCCACAGCCCTAGAGAGAGCACTGTCCTGAAAGAATTCTGTCTTCAAACTCGTAGGGTAGGGAGAGGAGAAGGAAGGAAGGAAGGAAGGGAGGGAGGAAGGAAGGAAGGAAGGAAGGGAGGGAGGGAGGGAGGGAGGGAGGGGACAGAAGGCAGTTGATAATATCTGATCTATTAATTCTATACTAGACATCTAATAATCAGCCTCTGCTAACAATGTGACTTGGGACAAGCTACTTAATCTCTTTGAGCTTCAACTTCCTTGACTATAATATCACTATGTAATACTCCTATTCTGTCCAAATTATAAGTCTATTGTATCAAACTATCCCTTCCATTCAAAATGTACATCTCTTTCTTTCTTGATACATTTCAGACCTGGCTTCTCAGGTCTGCAGGTCTGCCGTGGAGCAGGCAGGCTCTAGGCTCAGCTCACCTCTACTGAGACTTTGCCATCCCCACCTGAGTAGGGCCTTGGGGTCCTGTCTGGAACCTGTGAGTCCCTCCTGATATGCAGGATTCCTGTAAACTAATCCCCTGTCAGTTTCTGATGCTGTAAATATCTTCTTGTAATCAATTTTTATTTTTCATGCACCAATACTATATTAAGATTTTTTAAAAAGGACCATGGCTTTGTAAACAGATGTTCATATCTGGTGAGAGTCCCTCCCCTCCAACCTTTTTTTTGAGAGGGAACCTCATTCGGTAGCCCAGGCTGGAGCCCAATGGCACGATCTTGGCTCACTGCAACCTCTGCCTCCTGGATTCAAATGATTCTCCTGCCTCAGCCTCTCGAGTAGAAGGGATTACAGGCACCCACTACCATGCCCAGCTAATTTTTGTATTTTTAGTAGAGACAGGGTTTAACTGTGTTGGTCAGGCTGGTCTCAAACTCCTGACCTCAGGTGATCCACCCACCTCAGCCTCCCAAAGTGCTAGGATTACAGGAGTGAGCCACCATGCCCGAGCAAGGATCCCTCTTTAAAATTCTCCTGAAAATCAACTTAGCTATTAATAGATAATATTTTATTTTATTTTATTTTTGAGACAAAGGCTCACTCTGTTGCCCAGGCTGGAGTTGGGTGATGCAATCATAGCTCCCTGCAGCCTTGAACTCCTGGTCTCAAGAGACCCTCCTGCCTCAGCCTCCCGAGCAGCTAGGACTACAGGTGCACACCACCACACCTGAGTAATTTATTTTTTATTTTTTGTAGGGACGGGGCCTCGCTGTGTTGCCCAGGCTGGTCTTGAACTCCTGGCCTCAAGCCATCCTCCCACCTGGTCCTCCCAGAGCGCTGGGATTACAGGTGTTTTCCACCTCGCCTAGCCTCTATACATTTTAGAATCCATTCCTAGGATTTCTTAGGGATTTTTTCTGGGCTTCAAAAAAATCTTGCTGGCATTTTTTAGAGAATGTTATCAGTTTATTTACCTATTCACATTTTCCTTTACATAGGATATATGCTTTACTAGGATTTAAAAAATTCTTCATGGAAGTCTGATGCACACTTGGATGGGCTAATCCTAGATACTTTATGGTATTTTCTTTTTCTTTTTTTGAAAGAGAGTCTTGCTCTGTCCCCTAGGCTGGAGTGCAATGGCATGATCTCTGCTCACCGCAACCTTTGCCTCCTGGGTTCAAGCAATTCTCCTGCCTCAGCCTCCCAAGTAGTTGGGATTACAGGCACATGCCACCACACCCGGCTAATTTTTTGTATTTTTAGTAGAGACAGGGTTTCACCATGTTGGCCAGGCTGGTCTTGAACACCTGACCTTGTGATCCGCCAGCCTTGGCCTCCCAAAATGCTAGGATTACAGGCATGAGCCACCATGCCCGGCCTATAGTATCTTATTTTCTAATAAAATTCCTACTTAGTATTGATGATGCTGATGATCTAGAGAAACTTAGTTTTTGCAAGTTTTTCTTTAAAAAAAAAAAACAACTTTGTGGAGATATAACTGTAAATACAATTTGCTCTTTCAAAGTATGTAATTTAATGGCTTTTTATATACACAGAATTGTGCAACTATCACTACAATCAATTTTAGAACATTTTCGTCATCCCTAAAAAAAGCCCTGCACCCCTTAGACATCACCCTCAATCCATGCCCGCTCTCAACCCAGCCCTGGGCAATCACCACTTTTGGTCTCTATAGTTCACCTATTTTGGACATGTTATAGAAATAGAATCATGTAATATGTCGTCCTTTGTGACTGGCTTCTTTCACTTAGCAGAATGTATTCAAGGTTCATTCTCTCTGTAGCATGTATCAGTACTTCATACCTTGTTACGGCTACATAGTATTCCTCGCATGGACACACCACATTTTGTTTGTCATTTGATTGCCATGTGGATTGTTTCTATCTTTTGGCTATTTTATTTTTATTTTGTGTTTTTATTTGTTTATTTTGTTGAGACCGGGCCTCGCTGTGTCACCCAGGCTGTAGCGCGGTGGCATGATCTCTGCTCACTGCAACCTCCACCTCCCAGGCTCAAGAAATCCTCCCGCCACAACCTTCCAAGTGGTTAGGACCACCGGCCTACACCACCACACCTGGCTAATTTTTGTATATTTTGTAGAGACTGGTCTCACTATGTTGTCCAGGCTGGTCTTGAACTCCTGGGCTCAAGCAAGCCTCACTTCTTAGTCTCCAAAGTGCTGGTATTACAGGCATGAGCCACCATGCCCAACCAATTTACTAATATTTTTTCTTCTATTCTGTTGGCTGCCTTTTTATTTTCTTGATGGTGTTCTTTGAAACACAAAATTTTTAATTCTGACATTGTCCAATATATATAATTTTTCTTTTATTTTTTGTGCTTTTGGTGTCATATTTAAAGAAACCATTGCCTAGTCTAAGGTCATGAAGATTTATGCCCATGTTTTCTTCTAAGAGTTTAATAATTTTGGCTCTTACCTTTAAGTCTTTGGTAGAATTTGTGTTAATTTTTTGTATGTGATGTGAGGTGGGGTTTCAGCTTCATTATTGTGCATGTGGATGTTCAGTTATTAGTGTCATATAATTCACAAGCCATATAATTCACCCATTTAAAATGTGTTAGCCAGTGTGGTGTCTCATGCCTGTAATCACAGCACAATGGGAGGCTGAGGAGGGTGGATCACTTGAGATCAGGGGTTCAAAATCAGCCTGGTCAACATGGTGAAAACCTGTCTCTACTAAAAATACAAAAAATTAGCTGAGGCCAGGCGCAGTGGCTCACGCCTGTAATCCCAACACTTTGTGAGGCCAAGGTGCGCAGATCACGAGGTCAAAAGTTTGAGACCAGTCTGACCAATATGGTGAAACCCTTTCTCTACTAAAAATACAAAAATTATCCAGGTGTGGTGGTGCACATCTGTGATCCCAGCTGCTCAGGAGGCTAAGGCAAAAGAATTGCTTGAACTTGGGAGGTGGAGGTTGCAATGAGCTGAGATCATGCCACTGCGCTGCCCTCCAGCCTGGGTGGCAGAGTAAGACTGTCTAAAAA